GGACAATGTAGTAGCCTTCCGGGCCTACAATGGTCTCTTTCTGTGCAGAACATTTAGAGAATTCAATGGCCTGGAAGCAGCCAAGTTCTTTCCTGATGAGACCTGTTGTTTTCTACCCCAGATTGGAGATATTGCTCTCCCAGCTTTTAAAATCTTAAGTGTGGTCCCGAAAGACCCTTTCCCAAACAAGTATCATTCTCGCTTTGTGGATAAACACATCTTCTACAACAGGCGTTCGACCTCAGTCCTACACACTTTGGGCCTCAATTGGGTGACCAATGCCACTGACAGAGTGATTTGGAAGCATCTCTGGGGACTAGGATTGCCTTCTTCCTGCAGTTGTGAAAGCCCATGGCGAGGTGGAACAATTGGATGAAATCGGAGCATGGAAGGGAATGGTCTATATTAAGAACCTTTGAGTAGACGTTGCAATGCAACCTTTGTGCGAGCCTTGCAGAGGCATGTGAAGCTGTGGGAAATACTTGCAGCCTTCCATAATAATTAGGAGCAGCCCACTTCCCAAGAAATATGGCTACTTGGGTTTTATCATGCATTGGTCAATGTTCTTGAAGGATGAGATTACTGCAAGGACTTGGTCCCAGCTGTTTGTGGCTTAACAGAAAGCCTCTTCCTCACTGGTAATTCCTTTTAATCTCCTGCTTTAAGTGTACAAGAAAGGTAGTTCTCCTTTTTACCGAAAGAAGGAGTCAAAGTTACACCCTTCACAGTGTAAGCACAATAACAAATAAAATTTGTCAAGCTTCTCTTTGAAAAAAAAAAAAAGTTGTTCACAGGCGCTGCTGGGGCTGTTTCTTTGGAGCTGAGACAAAACAGATGGCCCCAAGCAATTCCCTCCCCCTTCCTTTCCCAACATCAAAGTGACAGGAAAGCCAGACGAGGAAAGGGGTTGTAAAAGAATATCCAGCCCCCCCTCCGCATTGGAATGGCATTGCCCCATAGGGATCTATGGGAACCCGAGAGTTCCAGGATCTCAGGGGCTGCCACAAAAAAGAGGGAGTCAAGCTATTCTCCAAAGCCCCTGAAGGCAATAGGTGGAAACTAATCAAAGACAGAAGCTACTGTAGGAAGTTAAAACCTACCCACCCACCTAGGAAAATGAAATATCCTGGGAAATATTGAAATGGCAGAATATTACATTTCCCTGGGTGAGCAATGAAGAAACATGTTTTTAGGCAGGAAACAGACTCACTTTTAATAGCCCCCCCTCTTGTCAATCGGCTATTAAAGGCCTGAGTCAGTCTATTCTACGTAACAAATATCTGCCCGTTCAGCTCCAGGGTGATGGGATTAAGGCATGATAGTATTCACCCCTTACCCATCTCACCACAGGGCACCTGGAAGAAGCAATGCTCAACCAAACCTGGACTCAAAATACACCCTAGAGAGTTGCCCCTGCATGGCCCCATGGGCGTCTGACAACCCACCAGAATACAAGATCGAGATCAAAGGCCAGAGAGGGCATAAAACCAGGGACTATCAGCATCTCTGTCTCTTTTTTCTTCTTCACCCAATGTCTGGAAGCATGTGATTTCCCCCTTTTCTGTTCAGGAGCTCAAGCCATGTGATTCTGTCCACCATTAAGCCATCTTTCCAAGCAGCCTCCATGTTTCCAGTGTCTTTTTCCCCACTTGGAGCTGAACCCAGAAGGACATTTCTTCCGACACCTAGAACTATGAAAAAATTTCCTCACTGTTGAAGTTCAGAGTGATAAAAGGGACATAGTTGCCTATCCCTGTATAGTACAAATACATGTATGTATTTATGTCTATAAAAATACTGTACAGATGGTGCATATTATATGCACCATCTATACAGTATTTTTATTGGAGACCCAATTGGATATAGTAATGAAAATCCTGGACTAAGAGTGGGAAACTCCAAAATTAATCATTGGGGGATTCTGGTGTAGAAAATATTAGCAGGGAGCAGAGGTGAAACCCTCATCTTCTCCATACTTTAAAGTTGCTGTGATCAACCTTTGCAAAACGCTCAGAGGGATTGGAGGAAACAGGAAAAATCCTAAAGTGGGAGGCACCCATGTCAGCGGCAAGGGTTAAAAAAAACCATAGAGAGACAGACTTTGGAAGAATGAGGGTCATTTTACCACCACCACCAAGAGGCTCCAGTTCAACTTAGAGGAGGATGTAGCTATACTTCAGGTTCCCAATCGGCGTCCGAGTGGCAATGCTAGCCGCGGCGTAGGAAGGATCCTCTCGTCAAAGAGAATTCGAATCGGAACCGGAAAAGAGGTTCGCCGAACACTGCTGCTTTCCCCCCGCCCCTTTCCTTCGCCTTTGCTTTGTTGAGACCCTCGGCTTCTTCGGGTTCTCCATTTCTCGTGGGGAGGAAGCTACAGGTTCGGGGAGGTCTTGTTTTTTCCCTAGCTGTTGTGCGATAAGAGCAGCTGTTCGTGCCTGCTGGAGGGGAAGTTGAGCTAAGTTGCGAGAGGAGGGAATTTGCACCGGTTTCTGCAAGCTGCTGCCAGGTACGAGGGTGCAGCAACGCCTTTCGCAACCTTCCCGTCGTCCCAGGAATCATCTCTGCACACGAGCGCACGTAAAACTCGAGCTTTTGCAGCAGAAGGCATTGGAAGTTTTTACTTAGCCAACTTCTGAACGGAACCCGGTCAGTTTCTCTAACTGGCGAGTAAAATGGGTGGCTTTGCTGCTCTCTCTCTCTCTCTCTCTCTCTCTCTCTCTCTCTCTCTCTCT